TTCCTTAACATTTTGTATTTGATTTGCTTCTTTTCCTAACTTCTTAAGATAGAAACTTTGATTTTAAACAGTTAATCCTTTACAAATAAGCATTTAAAGCAATAATTTTTTTTCTAAGTATTGTGTTACCAGTAGCCGATTAGGTGTGATATATTTTGTTTTTATTTTCATTCAGTTCAAGATATTTTTTAATATAATTTATTGTCAAATTAGCTAATATACAGAGTGTAAAGTGTGCTGTTGGTTTTTGGCTTAAATTCCCGTGCTTCATTGCTTACATACAACACCCAGTGCTCATCCCAACAAGTGCCCTCCTTAATGCCCATCACCCATTTTCCCCTCTCCCCCACCATCCCATCTACCCTCAGTTTGTTCTCTGTATTTAAGAGTCTCTTATGGGTTGCCTCCCTTCCTCTCTGTTTATAACTATTTTTGTCCCCTTTCCTTTCCCCCATGGTCTTCTGTTAAGTTTCTCAAGATCCACATATGAGTGAAAACATGTGATATCTGTCCTTCTCTGCCTGACTTATTTCACTTAGCATTATACTCTCCAGTTCCAGCCACGTTGCTACAAAGGGCCAGATTTCATTCTTCCTCATTGCCAAGTAGTATTCCATTATACATATAAATCACATCTTCTTTATCCATTCATCAGTTGATGGACATTTAGGCTCTTTCTATAATTTGGCTATTGTTGAAAGTGCTGCTGTAAACATTAGGGTACATGTGCCCCTATGAATCAGCACTCCTGTATCCCTTGGATAAATTCCTAGTAGTGCTATTGCTGGGTCGTAGGGTAATTCTATTTTTAGCTTTTTGAGGAACCTCCACACTGTTTTTCAGAGCAGCTGTACCAGTTTGCATTCCCACCAACAGTGCAAGAAGGTTCCTGTTTCTCCACATCCTCGCCAGCATCTGTAGTTTCCTGAGTTGTTCATTTTAGCCACTCTGACAAATGTGAGGTGGTATCTTCAGTGTGGTTTTCATTGGTATTTTCCTGATCATGAATAATGTTGAGCATAATTTCATGTGCCTGTTGGCCATCTGGATGTCTTCTTTGGATAAGTGTCTATTCATGTCTTCTGCCCATTTTGTCACTGGATTCTTTGTTTTTCTGGTGTGGAGTTTGGTAAGTTATAGATTTGGGATACTACCCTTGATTCGGTATGTCACTTGCAAATATCTTTTCCCATTCCATCGGTTGCTTTTTAGTTTTGTTGATTGTTTCCTTTGCAGTACAGAAGCTTTTTATCTTGATGAGGTCCCAATAGTTCATTTTTGGTTTTAATTCCCTTGCCTTTGGAGATGTGTTGAGCAAGAAATTGCTGTGGCTGAGGTCAAAGAAGTTTTTGCATGCTTTCTCCTCGAGGGTTTTGATGGTTTCCTGCCTCACATTTAGGTCTTTCATCCATTTTGAGTTTATTTTTGTATATGGGCAAGAAAGTGGTCTAGTTTTATTCTTCTGCATGTTGCTGTCCAGTTCCCCAGCACCATTTGCTAAAGAGACTGTCTTTTTTCCATTGGATACTCTTTCCTACTTTGTCAAAGATTAATTGGGCATACATTTGTGGGTCCAATTCTGGAGTGTCTATTCTATTCCATTGGTCTCTGTGTCTGTTCTTGTGCCAATACCATACTGTTGATGATTACAGCTTTGTAGTAGAGGCTAATGTCTGGGATTGTGAGGTGTCCCATTTTGGTTTTCTTCTTCAATATTACTTTGGCTATTCGGGGTCTTTTGTGGTTCCATACAAATTTTAGTGTTGTTTTTTCTAGCTTTGAGAAGAATACCAGTGCAATTTTGATTGACATTGCATTGAATGTGTAGATTGCTTTGGGTGGTATTGACATTTTAACAATATTTATTCTTCCAATCCATGAGCATGGAATGTCTTTCAGTTTCTTTGTATCTTCTTCAATTTCCTTCATAAGTTTTGTATAATTTTCAGCATACAGATCTTTTTTACCTCTTTGGTTAGGTTTATTCCTAGGTATTTTATGGTTCTTGCTGCAATTGTAAATGGGATCAGTTTCTTTATTTCTCTTTCTGTTGCTTCATTATTGGTGTATAAAAATGCAACAGATTTCTGTGCATTGATTTTGTACCCTGAGACTTTGCTGAATTCACGTATCAGTTCTAGCAATCTTTTGGTGGAGTCTTTCTGGTTTTCCATGTATCATGTCGTCTGCAAAAAATGAAAGTTTGGTTTCTTCTTTGCCAATTTTGATGCCTTTGATTTCCTTTTGTTGTTGGATTGCTGATGCTAGCACTTCCAACACTATTTAAACAACAGTGGTGAGAGTGGACATCCCTGTCGTGTTCCTGATCTCAGGGGGAAAGCTCTCAGTTTTTCCCTGTTAAGGATGATATTAGCTGTGGGCTTTTTATATATGGCTTTTATCATGTTTAAGTGTATTCCTTCTATCACAACTTTCTTGACAGTTTTTATTAAGAAAGGATACTGTGTTTTGTCAAATGATTTTTTTGCATCTGTTGACAGGATCATATGGTTCATATCCTTTCTTTTATTAATGTGATGTATCACATTGATTGATTTGTGAATATTGAACCAGCCCTGCAGCCCAGGAATGAATCCCACTTGATCATGGTGAATAATTCTTTTTTATATGCTGTTGAATTCGATTTGCTAGTATCTTGTTGAGGATTTTTGCATCCATGTTCATCACGGATATTGACCTGTAATTCTTTTTTGTGGGGTCTCTGTCTGGTTTGGGAATCAAGGTAGTGCTGGCTTCATAGAATGAGTCTGGAAATTTTCCTTCCATTTCTATTTTTTGGAACAGCTTGAGAAGGATAGGTATTAATTCTGCTTTAAATGTCTGGTACAATTCCCCAGGGAAGCCATCTGGCCCAAGACTCTTCTTTGTTGGGAGATTTTTGGTAACTGATTCAATTTCTTCACTAGTTATGGGTCTGTTCAAATTTTCTATTCTTTCCTGCTTGAGTTTTGGTAGTGCGTGGGTGTCTAGGAATTTGTCCATTTCTTCCAGGTTGTCCAGTTTGTTGACATATAATTTTTCATAGTATTCTCTGATAATTAGTTCAAGAGATTTTCTAATCTCCTGTGATTTCATCTTTGATCCCTAAGTTAGGTAGAAGTGTGATGCTTACTTTGTGTATATTTGGCTATTTCCCATATTTATTTTTGTTATTAATTTCTAATTTAATTATATTATAGTCAAAGAACATATTTTTATGACTTTATTCCTTTCATATTTACTGAGACTTGCTTTATGGCTGTGTAGCCTGGTGAATATTCCATGTGCAATTAAAACGAATGTGTACTTTACTGTTTTAAGATAAAGTGTTGTTTGTCACTTAGGTTAAGTTGTTTGATAGTGTTGTTCAGATCTTCTGTATTCTTACTGATTTTCTATCTACTTGTATTACAGATTACTCAGAGAGGAATATTTTAATCTCTAAGCATAATCAGTTAATTGTTTATTCTTAATTCTGTCAGTTTTTACTGAAATTTTTTTCATGAATCTTTAGTGTCTGTTTTAGGTACATGTATAATTTTTTAGTATGTTGACTTAATGTATATCCTAATAAAATGTACCTCTTTTCTCTACTAATAGTCCTTATTTTGTCTAATATTAATATAGCCACTCTAGTTCTCTTACTAATATTTATATTGCATAACTTTTTCAACCTCTGTTTGTCTTTGATCTTATAGTTCCTCTCTTGTAGACTGCATATGTATCCTGCTTTTTAAATCTAGTTTGACAATGTCTGCCTTATCCCATTCATATTCAATGTAATTATTGATATAGTTGAATTTAGGTCTGCCATTCTGTTATTTGTTTTCTATGTCTCATTTCTTATTTAGCTCTCTTTTCCTCTTTCATTGTCTTTTAGGTTTCATAAATTCCAATTATTACACTGTTTTTATTCCCCATTAACTTTTTCACTCTATGTCTTTGATTTTTTTCTGTGTATATGTGTTTGCACTAAACATAACAATATGGAACTTTTAAATTATGATGATTTACTTAAGTTAGTACTGATTTAAAACCAGTGAAACCGTAATTTTGCATTTATACCTCAATTTCCTCTCACTATCAAATAACTGGGAAGAGTGTGAGATTTTACCTGATTTGCAAATTAGCCTGCCAGGGTTTAATAGATTCTGGCAGGAGACTACAGATAACTTATTACTCATAGCAACAACAATAGCCAGAGCATGATCATTTGTACTGATTCTTCAAGGCTTAATTTTCACAGGGTGACAAAAGAAGGGGCAAAATATAGAGTAGCATTCATGAATCGTGTCATCAGGATACTGGTACCAAGGATGTACTAAAAAATAAGTGTTGGGGCGCCTGGGTGGCGCAGTCGGTTAAGCGTCCGACTTCAGCCAGGTCACGATCTCGCGGTCCGTGAGTTCGAGCCCCGCGTCGGGCTCTGGGCTGGTGGCTCGGAGCCTGGAGCCTGTTTCTGATTCTGTGTCTCCCTCTCTCTCTGCCCCTCCCCCGTTCATGCTCTGTCTCTCTCTGTCCCAAAAATAAATAAAAACGTTGAAAAAAAATAAAAATAAAAAAAAAAAATAAATAAGTGTTGTGGTCAAATAAGTTTGAGAAATGGTATAACCCTATCTCCCTGTGTATATCTACAATGTACATTAAAAAGTTCTCAGAAGCCTTGCAGAAAAAAAAGCTACTTAACTTTCTTTGAAGGAAGGGTTTCCAAATTATTTGACTACAGAATCTTTTCTTTTATGTATCATAACAACCTGAAAAAATAGTGTTCCACATAATTCACTTTGACAAACACTGGTTAAGCAAACAATAGAAATGAAATATATGCAAATTAGTTTTAAATCACCATTAAGAAATACTGTATTTTTGAAATAAAAGTAAAATAAGTGTTATCCTTCCCGACCTTTTTGAAAACATTTAATGTTCTTTTCTTTTATTCTTTAAGTGATTGAAGTCAAGTATACAACATGTTTATCTGTAAATTCTGTTTCCATTTGTAGGGGATGTGATCAACCTTGGTGACAGACAGCTCACTGTTATGCACATGCCTGGTCACTCCAGGGGCAGTATTTGCTTACATGACAAAGACCGAAAGATTCTCTTCAGTGGAGACGTGGTGTATGATGGATCACTGATTGACTGGCTTCCATACAGCAGGATAAGTGACTATGTTGGAACCTGTGAACGTCTGATAGAATTAGTGGACAGAGGTCTGGTAGAGAAGGTGCTTCCTGGGCATTTCAATACCTTTGGTGCTGAAAGGCTTTTTCGATTGGCTTCTAACTATATTTCAAAAGCTGGCATATGTCACAAAGTTTCTACTTTTGCCATGCGATCTCTTGCAAGTTTAGCCTTACGTGTAACAAATTCTAGGACCTCACCCTAGTATCTACACTGATAACCTGTTTTGATTAATTCTGTAAATTCAATTCATTTTGTGCTGTTTAAAATGAGTTATAGTGAGCATTTCAAGAAATGCTTTATTAGAGACAAAAAAGGTTGAGAATGAGTAAGCCCAAAAAGGAAGCTCTTCATTAAAAATTTTTCTTTCTTTCAAATAAGAAATCATTTAAATAAGCTTATAATTTGCCAAGCTGTCATCCTGTAATATTTGTCATCTTGTAATATCCAGAAACAACGTAGAAATATATGGGGAAGTAAGGAGGCATAGTAACAGAAAGAACTATCATCCTTACTTCCCATTTCTCTTATTTTATTTCCTAGATGACCTAGAAAAAGAGGCATAAAGTTTTATGTTTATACTCCAAACTTGATATTTTAGTATATTATTTAAAGATAAAGGTTCTTGAGTTTAAAATACATTAGAACTCAATACAAACATATAAATTAATATTTAGAATGACAGCTAAAACAATCCATTGGTATAGCACAGAATTTTTATGCTTCATTTATTTATTCTTAATGTAATTATAGCGTATTATATGCTGTGTAATTTTACTTACAAAGAGTACAATGAATTTTGTTTTGTTGCAAAGCTTTAAATATAAATTGCAGAGTGCTTCAGTCAAAAGCTACCACACAGTGTTGTTTGTTATTATGTGTGTGTAATATTTTCAATCATAAAAATGAAATTCAAATGTCTGTAATATAATTACAAATTGTCAGATTTCTCAAAAGGACACTGTCAGGGAAATTTGAAAATATACACATTGAAAATAATTTTTTATTATATCCTATTTTAATATTAACAGCTATTATAAACAAAATTTTTCTTGTTAAATAGCAGCTTCAGTATTATGTGTCATATTTTATAATATCACAACAACTATAGAGATCTACGACATTCTGATATGAATCATTCTTTTACTTACCATAACATGCATATGTACCATGGAAGGCTTTTCAGATTAACTGCAAAATGTGCATTAGATATTGACTTAGAGTGAATTGCCTTTTTTATCCTGATTCACAACACCTATTCCTGTTCAGTATTCTTTGTCTTGAATGAAAAGAACTCTACATTTATAACGTATAGGAAAGGTTAGCCCACTATTTTAGTGAAATGTTTTGGTTTGGTGCTCTTTATAATTTATTAAAAAGCCTTTTGGAATATTTCATAAAGGTTTTTTAAGCAGTTTTCTCACTGCCTTTTTATTATTTACATGTCCAAAACCAAACTGAGATAGCTTTGGAAATCAGATTGTTTAGTATTAAGAAAGTTTAGCAACTTTGATATCAGAAAAATTATAAAATTTTTCCACCCTTAACCCACCCAGGTTTTTTTAGTCTTTTTTTAATTCAACACCCACACACATATCCCACATTCATACACACAGTCACATACATACATGCACAGTATTGTGCTAAACACTGTGGAAGCTTAAAAAGTCAAAGATGAAATCTTAGCTAGAAGGCAAACAAAACATGAATAATAATGTATGTAGGTTGAAGCTAATACAAATTACACATGAGTATCAGGGACATACATGGAGGGGTGTGGAGTTTGGTTAGGAAGAGATTCCTGGAAGAGGGGTTTTTCAGTTGTATTTGGAAAGATGATTTGTTAGGTGGTCAGGGTAGGGGACAAAAAGATCCAAGAACGGGGATGGAAGCATTGCTATCCTAAGTAGGCTATTCCTTGTGACAATTTAAATTTAATTTTCAGGAATCTTAGATCCTCCAAATACCAAGTATTTAGCATGAGACAGGTGGGTTTGTGATGGTGTATATGAGTCATCTTCAGTGACAGACAAGCTGTCCTGCCACATGCCATTGAAGGAATCTACTCATATAAGGCTGTAGGTTTCAGTTGATATGCAGCATGAAGAGTATAGATTTGGTTCAGGGCAACTACAATCACTTAATGAGCCTTAAATATAGCCATTATTTTTATATCAGTAGCACAAAAGAAAACCAAAAGTCCTTAACCATTGACCATTTTATCATACCTTAGGACTTAAAAAAAAATCAGGGTATAGTAGGCACTAAGTTTTACTGAGAAATATTTGAACCTGATGAAGGCTTTCTTTATTTCTTAAAAGTACAATTTTTCAAAACATGTTAGTTTTGTTTTTAAATCTCCAACTTTTTTTTGTTTTTCAAATTATACAAACACATAAGACTGTGATATTTTGCTTTTGCTTCAGTGTGAATAAATTGGGGAAAGGATCTGTCATCCATTTAGTGCTCATGCTATGCATTTTAAAATATGCATTATTCAGTTTAATCCTGGCCCCAGTTCCAAGAAGTAATTGACCAGCCAAACACAACAAAACTTTGGACAAAGCTGGTAATTGAACACAGGTCTGTCTTCCTCCCAAACTGTGCTCTTTCTCTTATATCTGCACAATAACATAAAATTGGCAAAGTGTATTTTTACTTTCCCAGATGCCACATGTGCCAAGAGTAAATCAAGTGATGTTAAGCCTAATAATAGCATATTTTAAAAGAAGCTTTAAAAAATATATTTTCACCCTGACAGTGACCCGTATTGTAACTTATGATTTTTGGAAATAATAGTATGTAAGTATAATTCAGAGTTGTCAAATGTAAGACATTTAGAAATAATTTTTATTTGTATTGTTAATAACTTAATCTTTGGAAACTCATTTTCCTTATTTGGTGTTTCCTTTTAACTAAGAAGTCTAAAATAAACAAAAATCTTGTGTTATCCTGATATAGTTGAGTAAATGATTATGTGTAGTTGTTCTTATATGAATAGTAATATGATTGTGACATGTACACATTGTCTTCTTATAATTTTCAGATAAGTGTAAGTAAAAATTTGTGTGATAAATATTAAAGTGGACATTTTATTTCAATCTCTAGTTGGTATTTTTTTCTAACAGCAAATTCCTATTTAATTTCTTATAAATATTCCCTATGTGAAGTACAGTTTTGAAAATGTATAATAAATAAGACATCAAATCCATGGACAAGAATGGAGAATCCAGAAAATGCCCATATAAATTTTTGGTAGTTATAAATATTGCATTTTAAATCAATGGATAAAAGATGAGTTATTTGGTATATATTCCAATTGTTGATGTGAGAAAAAAGGTCCCTGACAACATAAAAATAAATTCCAAATGGATTAAAGACCTAAATTTGAAAAATGGAAACACATGTGTATTGAAATTTTAAATCATGTTTAAGACATTAGGATAGGGAAGATCTTTATATAGGAAAAAAAAAGCAAAATCATCAGAATTTAAAATGTCCTAGAATTCAGATGCCATAAAGTTAAAATGATAAATTAGAAGAAAATATTCACAAATTGTGTAACAGCAAAATTTTTTTAAACAACCAAAAAGAATGCCTACAAATCAATAAGAAAAAGGTAAACTGCTGTAAGGGTGGGAACACCTTTCTTCTCCCGTCTTAGGTCCTGTGGCTGGGCCCAAGGATTACATTTACAAAAGACAAAAGGAGCATATAAATTTTATTTGATATTAAAATTTTTATGTGGATGAGGAGGGTTTTATGTATAAGAAATGAAAACCCAAAGAAGTGGATTGGCGTGAGACTTTACATACCATTTTAACAAACAATAAATCGTGGAGACTGACCAGGCAGGAGAAGAGTGTTTGGACTACGGTTAGTAAACTGTGGGAAAATGACTAGGAAATAGATGAGGGAAACTAATGAAAGACCAGGGTTATTCTAGCAGGTTTGTTCATATAGATTAATCTTGGTGTCAACTCTCTGTTTCCAGTGATAAAAATGTTCCAGTCTTCCTGATATAAGGAGGACACTTTTCTCATGGGAAATTTTATGCCCTGTTTTAGGTAGAAAGGGAACCCTTCCTATATTTGTTTTTTCTCACTTGCCTCAGATCAATCAGTATGCCAAAGTGGTATATTTTGAGGTGTCATGTTCTAATCTCCTTTACTACCTATTACAAAAATGGGTAAATTATATGAGCAGGTTATTCACAGAAGATGAAACACAAAGGCCATTAAACATTCAGAATTATGCTGAACCTCAGTAGTAATCCGGGAAATGCAAGTTTAAGTAATAAGATAGTTTACTCTAAAACTGGGAAATTTGAGAATATGAAGTATTAGTATAAGGGTAAGTGGATATTTTCATGCTGTGCTGCTAAAAGTGTAGAGTGCTTCCAGCCATTTATGGGGTGGGAGGGTGCAATTTTGGGCTGTGATTTGGTGCATTCTGATTTGAGGTAAAGCTACATGCTCAGTCTATCACTCTTAACCCAAAATTGGGTTAAGAGTCCTATTTTGAAAAGAAAGGGATTTAGGAACGGGTTTTCTTTTTTCTGTTTTTGTTTGTTTGTTTGTTTTTAATGTTTATTTAGTTTTGAGAGAGAGAGGCAAAGTGTGAGCACAGGAGGAGCAGAGAGAGAGGGAGACACAGAATCCAAAGCAGGCTCCAGACTCTGAGCTAGCACAAAGTCCGACACAGGGCTCAAACCTGTGAACCATGAGATCATGACCTGAGCTGAAGTCAGAGGCTTAATGGACTGAGCCACCCAGGCACCCCTTGCACCCCTTAGCAAAGGTTTATGTACAGTCAAAGTTTGTATACTTAAAGTTCACACTTGCAGAGTCCTCCAACCTAGTTCAAAGAATGTTGGCAGTTATGACAAATCTATCCTCCAGGCAAGATCCTTTTCTTAGAAATTTGACACCTGAAAGACCTGATGATACTGACTCTGGGGTCCCCAAAGAAAGGGCCCAGTGAAATCATCTTACAATGTAGTGTGCAACCACAGGGCCTCCCTTGCCTCTCTTGCACATAGATTTCTAAAGTGTACTACTCTTAACTTTTAATATATACACCAAAGCCAGCATCTTGTGGAAAAAACAAAAGAATAGATGGAAATAAGTGGAAAAACCACTTCAAACAGTAAGACAATTTACCAAAATAGCAATATATGAAATTAACATTAAAAACCTAGAGTCT